AAAAAAAGTCCAAAGTTTAAAACCAAAGCCCATTTTTTAAAAAAGATTTTATTTATTTATTAGAGAGAGAGAGAGCACATGCATGAGAGAGAGTGAGAGAGAGCAGGAGCAGGGGCAGGGGGAGAGGGAGAAGCAGACTCTCTGATGAGCAGGGAGCCCGATGCGGGACTCCATCACAGGACCTTGGGACCACGACCTGAGCTGAAGGCAGACACTTAACCAACTGAGCCACCCACGTGCCCCCAAAGCCCACTTTTAGTATGATCCTTTAAGAGAAAGACAAATCTGGAGGCAAAATATCAATGACAATTCACATTCAAGAACCTGGGCATCATGGTGAAATGATTATAGCCACTACCAAATATAGATCTCGGGAGACATTTCATGAATTCTGAGTATGGGTCAGTCTTCTGCTTCCTTTTCAATTACCTCAATATTGAAGACCCCGCCATGGTCCCTCCCCCCATCTCGTGTGGCACCTGCTGACTCCTCAGGGAGCAGTAAGTCTGGCAGAGGACCTCAATTTCACAGTGATGTCAATTTATGAAATGCTAAATGAGACCACTGCCAAGAAATGCTTGCTCACCCTCTTTCAGCAGCAGGGGAATCTCCCTTCCCTTCTCTGGGTGAAGCTGAAGAAAGGATTCATAAATGAAGTCCAATCCTTCTCACCAACCCCAGCCCACACCTCCCAGCAATTGAACTTGAAAAAAAACCTGGTTAAAACCACTTCCTATATTTGACAGTAGAGAGGGCTAGGCACAATTTCCTGACTGAACAAAGCAGCCTAATACTTAAAGAGAGCAACTCCAGACTGTTACAGAGACTAGAGGGACCACAGCAAGGTTGACACCCCGAACAGGCTGATATCCTTTCATCTCCCATCCTCCCAGCATGATGTAAATAAGAGGCTGATAGGAAACTCGGCCTTCTGCAAAGAAACACCTTCTCTTTGCTGCCCTCAAGAAGGCAGCTGATCCCACGTGCCAGGAAGATGGAGCCAAGCTTGCTGATGTGGGGAATCTCTACATTCATCACAGTATCTGGCTACATGACAGGTAAGAGGTCACGGGTGCCCTCAGAATCTTGGGAAGGCTAATGGATATTACCTCTTCCCAGCACAGAATCAGGGGGAGGGCACCTAAGTACAAAATGCGGACAAAGGGGTTGAATCTCGGGGTCTACCCCTTGTCCATGACCCACCAGGGCCCCATGTTATGTTTCAGTCATCCCTGATCTATAAACAGAGCTTGAAATGGTGGGATCTTCTGCCACTCTGTCTTTGTTACCTCTGGGGTGAATAGAGTGGCATGATATTTGAATGTTAACAGGATACTAATGAGCAGATTCCTCAAGAAATGTTCTCTTATATTCCAATGGATTCAGTTTTTCACTGCACCAACCAGCTGTAAGATAACACTAAAAATCTACTAGGAATCTCTCTAAGACCAGGGTATTGTCCTGAGATGCTAGTAACCGATATAGGAAACATCGGGATAATTTAAGTTTTGCTTCAAGGATGTATATGCTGTTTTTTACTGCCTCAGGAAATAATGCCTAGGATTTTCCTTACATGTGCAATGTTACAGAAATTTTAGAAAGCGTAAGAGTACTCACTTTCAGAACTCTACTTTTTCTTATATTTTCATGTGTATATATGCATGTATACATGTGTGTGTGTGTGTACACACACACACACATATGCAAATTTTGGATTTCATTCATCCTTTCAAATGGGTTTTGTCAAAGATTTTTTTTTTTTAACAAATAAGAAACCACTAACTTCTACCTCAAACCACCTTTCCTAATTGAGTGTGAATTTTCTAATAACTTCTTCCCTTGCTTACCAGGAAGACAGATAAGATATCAAAGTCTACAATTTCATAGCCTTAATTTCTAGATGAATAATAATGCTAACTGGCCATAGAAAGATGTGTTAAGTGAAACATGTTGTTGCATATAAGGCGCCTTTTTGCTTACTTGGTGAAGTAACTAGGTTATGTTGAGCTGTGAACTGACCCAGGGGTAGGAATTTCTTCACTATGGAGTTGAAGAAGGCATAATTTCTGGAAGGCTTATAAGAAGATTTCTGTTTCAGCACAATCTTTGCAAAGTGGGAGGACAGTCCAAGTTAAAACTGAAAAGCCTTTACAATATCTCTGGGAAACACATTTCAAGTAAACTTGTGTTATTGCTAGCTACTGGTGACTTATCTGAAGATATGAATGGTCTTGGTGGCAGCGTGGCAAGTGGGAGTATTATGAGGACTTTTCCATTCACTCAGGTCTCCAAAAATCTATTCAATACCTCTTAGTCCCCATCTCAACACTGTAGGAAATATGAAAATGAACAAGACAAAGTCTCAATCCTTGAGAGACTTATAACTTAGTACGGGAGGGAAAGGCATGGGTATCATAACAGTACTACAGATTAGAATTTGATGGGATCTATGTGAGCAGGACTAACAGAGAAGCTTCATGAGAGTAGCATGCAAAAAGAGCACTGAGAGACTAGTAAGTTTCCCCCAAGTGGACATTCCAGATAGAAAGGCCCCTATGAGCAAAGACACAGCAGAGGATGAGGGAAGAGCAAGTGGTCTGCTGTGGCCCCCAACACTGGATGGGCATGTGGGGACGTTGGGGATCAAGTCTGAAAAGATAGGATGGGGTCAAATGAATGATCCAAGGCCTTAGATAGCAAGTTATAAACTTTAACCTCATTTGGTAGTCAGTGAATGACTACTAGAAAATAAAAATGGCCATGACCATTAAAGAGTACTTTCTATGCGCCAGACATGTAAGTCTTATTTTCATCTTCATAACCGCTTCACAGTGTGGATGTCACAAACTCACTGGATGAAGGACCCAAAACTCAGAAGTCGCACAGACAGGAACAGAGTTGACGTTCAAACCCAGGGCTCCCTGACTTATGCTCTTTCCGTTCATTGCAGACACCTCTATGGAGGTGACTCTGGCATAGAGTGGAGGGAGATCAGGTGCACAGAGATAAGTTGCGAGGCCCCTAAAATTTTAAGTCCAGTCAAGAGGCAAATGAGGACCTGGTGGCCAAAGAGAGTGAAGTGGGTTGAGTTTCTGGGATTAACATATGGTTTAGGAACCACCCCAGGATAGGAAAGAATCTCATCTCAGACCTTTTCCTCCAAGAGAAGGAACCCAGTCTTAAAATAAACAAGACTTTTTATTCCTCAGGGGGGAGAGGTCTCTAACGAAATCAGACAGACTGTCAACAGATGCAATTTCTAGCTGATTCATAAGGCAGATTTTCATTCTGAAAATTTCCAAAGCCACCAGTTAAAATTGTGATGGGTTGCAGAGGATGTATTAGTCAACTTGGGTGTTTTTAGTCTCTATATTACTGGGTCCTGGGATGTGGTTAAAAAGAGAATCCTGATGTTACCAACATGGCACGTTAGTGAAGGCACCTTTCTCAGAATTGTGGAAATTCTGAAAGTTTATCTATGCTTTGATCATCTTTCTTTCATTCTAGGAATTCTGTGATCAAATCTTCATCCCCTAGATTTAAAAAAAAAGAAAGAAAGAAAGAAAGAAAGAAAGAAAGAAAGAAAGAAAGAAAGAAAGAGAAAAACCCAAAGCGTGGAAACCCATTAAGATGATATTTTTGTCTAATTATCCCTTCTTGTAAAGACTACTGCCCACACTGGAATTTCCCATCTTCAGGTTTGTCATTAAAACCCAAAATGTTTAACTCTCCACATTTAATCATTCCATTTCTTTAGATCCCGAAGTGTTGTTACCATGGTTAACTTTGATCATCTTCAAGATATACCTTGGAGAGACAGGGCTTTGGTAAGCTTAGGGAATACCTCATAGATCAGTTGCTACTTTCTTTAAAACAGCATGTTTTAAATAGGCAGTGCTGTATGTCACTGTACATACGCTCCATTTTAGATTTGAGCAAACCAAGGCACATAAAAAAGTGATTTCACTCATGGTCAGTTAGAGGTGCTAGTAAAGAACTATTGTTGACCCCTATAACTCTACCACTTGACCCCACTCATCTCAAAGAGAAGTATTCTTAGATTTCTTTGGCTAAGTCTTGAGCATTCTGGATACTTCTCTGCTATGTCTTGTGGAAGTCATTCCTGTAATAGAGTCACCCTTGCGTCAGGCTATCCCTCAACATGGTGGCCATTCAAGTGAATTTCCTTGCTCCCCTCATTGCCCAGAGGCCAGTAGAAACTTCAAAAATTAAGAGTTCCCTTAGAAAGTAGGGTCTGTCACCTGAGGTCAGTGAAGAGAAGAATTAGGAGAAAACTGAACTTTGAAAGTGGGCCAAGGCACCTCCTAACAAACATCGTTGGAGGATGGAAGATAAGACATGTGAAGAGCATGACTTTGGACAAATTGCTCTCCCTCCCTGGGCCTCGGTTTCTCTCTGTAAAATGAGAAGGTTGATAGAGATGATTTTGAGACTTGTTTTGTCAAAAATTCTGAAAAGGAAAGAAAATAAGCTCTGCTTAAAAGGCATTTTCAAGCTGGGGTATTTTCAGATGAAAAAGTTTCCAGACTGAAGACATATACACAGGGTCTGGGTTAAAGAGATATTTAAGTGGCGGAGTACCAAAGCCCAACATCTCATTGCAGGTTATTTCCAACTCTTGAAAGGTACTCCACTGCACTCAGACATGACCCACTGCTTCCGTACATGCTGCAGTTGTAAGCATCAAGGGCAAAACACCACTGAGGGCTGGTGAGGTGTTCTGCTGCTTGTTTGCTTCCTCAGGGAATCTTCGTCTTCAAACAATTTCCTTGTTCCTCACAGAAGAGGTCCTACACGAGTGGGAACCTGTTTCTCTACTCTTTATTGCTGGCCATTTCCTGTGAGAAAAGGAAAGGTCTTCATTCAATTAATTGCTTCAAAAGTTATAAGCCCTCCATCCCTGAAAATGTTCAAATAGAGGCTGTCTGGCCACTTCTGGGGGATGCCATCAAGGGGTGCCCATGCTGGATGGGAAGAGGGACAGGGTGGCCTTCTGGCCTCTTTCCAACCATCCACGTTGGTTCTCCTCTGCCTCCTTCCAATATGTTTTACTTCCCCTTCTAGAAAATGAAATTAAGGATATGTGATTTTCACATTTTTCAAATCCAAGATCACACACGAGTGCAGATTTTTGGCTCTAGGAGAGAAAGCACAGTCCACTGTCTGCCCCCTGCCCCAAACTCTGACAGTGGCGAGAAACAGAAAAGGAAGATGACTGAGACTGGGCAAGGGGAAGCCTCTGAAAAGGTAAAACTTGAACCATAGGTTTGTGTTCAGCAAACTTCCAGTTAGCCAGACATTCGGAGTAAAAAGTTCCTCCATCCCTTTCCTCTCCACAAAGTCAAGGGCTCCCTTTCTCTGGAAGTGGTTGAGCGAAGCCTCAATGAGGGACTGTCAAACATGGGTGGAGAGATTTCCCAGACCAGGCAGGAGGCTGAAGTGAGAGCCTCTGATCCCTTTGGACTTAGAATCTGTGACTGCTTCTCTCCAGGCTGACAGTCTGTGGCCCACCGCGGGGGCCCTCAAAAGCTCTCGGAGGGGGTCTCTAAACTTCCTGAGATCCTCGTCTCTTGTTCAGCTCTTCATCTAGGCAGGTATCAGGTGAGGAAAGCTCAAAGACCCTTAAATACCTTCCTCTTCTCCTGTCTTCCTAATAATTTCTTCAGGAAGTTCTTCTTTGGTGGAGTCAGCCAATGCCCCAGGTAGCATCAAGGGGAAAAAAAAAAAAAGCCCAGAGAACCTCATTGCATAAAGATCAACTCATTTGTCACTCTTATACACAGAGCCTGAACATCTCAACAGGGAGAACAATGTGATAGCAAGAATCCATCTAGCTTTTTGGTTCTTAATCTTTTTTGAGGGGTGAGTCCTTGAGAAAATGTGATGAGCTCTAACTGTCTCCTCAGAAAAATGTACACAGACACAAAATCTGGAGTATAATTCTCTGGGTTGTAGCCTCCCTGTAAACCAGGGTCACCCAGTAAGACCTCTGAACTGTTCTTTACCATCTTAACACTCATAGTCATGAACAGAGAGAATGAGACACAGAAAGTTACCCTCCCTGGGAAGAGATCTGTAGTTGGCTTGGCAAAGGCAACTTAAGAGGCATGGTTGTACCTAGGGAGGACAGCAAGAAAATGACAAACCAAAAACACTAGGCAAGCAAGGAAAGTGGAGAACCAGGACTAGAATCCCGGCCTCTTAAATTCCAGTCTAATATTCCTGCATGTCTTTACATGGACTCTCAGTGATACACATCCATCCATCCATCTGCACGTTAGCCTCACCAATATGAAAGAGAGGGTGGTCCTTGCCCTCAAGCTGCTCATGGGGATGAAACATCTGCTGAGCAGTTCCTTTTAGAAGACAGCTGAAGGAGAGCCAACAGTGTCTGCCGATGAGTCAATGCCCATCGCTGAACCCCCACCAGGCTTTCAAATAAGTCACCCGCTTAGGGGCAAACAATAATGCAGTCATCTCTAGGTATTTTAGGTATTTTCCTCTCTACGATTACTCAGATAGTTTTTGGCTATTCGACGTATTTTATGGTTCCTCTCGGATTTGCATCCATCAATAAGAGAACACAAGTCTCACTGGGAAATGTATTTACAGCAGTGGTTCCCAGTGTGTATCTGGGATGCTTTAACAAATGATATCCAAGCCCCACCCAAGACCAGTTAAGACCAGTTAGGGTAGACTCTCTGGGGATGAGAACTGGACATAACAATATTTTTTTTCTAAGTTCCTGAAGAGATTTTAGGACACAGTTAGGATTGAAATCCACAGAATGATGACTCCCATGGTTGGTCTGATTCCATTATTTCATTTCTATTCACTGAGAATAGGTGCCTTAACGCAGTACTTCCCAAAATTTAATGTATTTACAAATCACCAGGGAATACTGTTATGTAGCAGATTCTGATTCAGGATCTCTGGGGTGGGGATTGAGATTCTGGTTTCAAACAGGCTCCCGTATGAGGCCCATGTTGTTGGTGCATGGACCCCATTTTGAGTAGCAAGGCTACCATGTGGGAGAGGAAACACACATTGTGTCTACCCACACAGAACTTGTAACTAAAATGGGAAAACCAATTTGGGAAAGACACAAGATCAAATACCACAAAGTAGTATATGGCAAAGCCCACGCATGCCCTAGCGATCCGAATGGGGGGGGGGGTAATACGCTTCCTGGAGAGTCTGGAAAGGCTTCTCAGCGAACATGGTCCTAGGACATAATGATTATCAGGACATGGGGTGGAGGATAGTATTTTCTAATGATTTTGGCTAAAGTTGTATACATGGATCATGCTTTGTGAGTAATAGACTGAAAAGTGAGGAGTTTATGAGGGCAATGAAATAGATGGCCCATATTTCATGTATAAACCAAAGCTTTTGTGTGTGTGCTGAGCAAAATGAGACTCAAGTGACTGGTTGTTCTCTGAGGAAAACATACTTTTGCTCAGACAAAAAGCACCTGAGTCCTCCCCTCATTTTCATCCTCTAGGTGTCTACACATGTCAATGGTGTCTGGTGGATTTCTTTCACATGATGAATCATTGGATCAGCATCACCAGTACCATACGACACCCCTGAAAACAGTCCGGAAGTCTGGGGTCTAATTCCCCTACATCCAAATTTTGCCCCTGACCTGGCTGCAGCTAGGCTAGATTCTAGGAGCTTCCCTCCTGACAACCCATCCTTATGCCCCCATGCACCCAATCCTTGGGGCTTTTGATCAGCAACTCAACTCCGTGCCGGATATCCTGCAAACAGGACCATTTCAGACAGTAGAAAACTCTAAGGCACCAAAGTGTGGGTGGCGACCTCACTGGGAAGATAAAGGGAAGGAGTTAGGTGCCGATCAGAGCTCTGTGCCTCTAAGCAGGCCTGCGCCAGGGTGGGAGGCGGGAGGCAGATTAGTCAGACGTGCTTTTCGGGCTTGTTTTCTCTCCAAGTTTCCCACCTGTCTCTTGCCATATGCAGTGAGAAAGTAAGCTGGTGCCGGGAGACTAGGAGCAATTGAGTGCATTTTCCCAAAAGCAGAAGAAAGAGCAGTAGGTTTCTAAAGAATGAAAAGGAAGCTCTAAAGAGGCAATTGGTTCCTTTCCCCTGAAGAGCAGAGAGAATCGCCCCATCTCCAGTAAGCCTGGCCGCCTATGGCGGGAGAGAAATAGGTGAGCGAAATCGTAAGCTGGGAACAGGGAACAGAGGGCCACTGAAGGCAAGCCAGCCCATGAACCCTCATACCAATGCTTGCTGCCTGCTTGCAGGCTGATTTGCTTTCAGCCTGTTCCGAGAAACTTCTTCAACAGGAATCATAATGACAAGCGCTAATATTCATGGCCTGTATGCACTCCTTCAGGTATAATGGGAAGGCAGAGTGTCACTTCAGTTAATGCTCAAAATCAGGTAGGCCTCCTTATTCTCCCCATTTTACACCTGGTACATTGAGGCTCACAGAGGTTAAGTTGCCCAGCGTAATACAGCTAGGGAACAGCTAGGATTTGAGACTGAATTTTTTACTGTTCTTCTAAACTGCTGCTAAGGTCATAAATTCATGTGCCGTATTAATAAGGAAGTTGAAATACGTGTCTCTGAGGTATGTCCTGCCACTCCTGTGGTTGTATAAATCCCCGTGTCTGTGCTCCCCAAATCCAAACCCCGATGCCGCGAAGCTGCCCCTGCATCTGCTCAAGGGCCCGAATTGACTTCTCAAGTCTCATCGCTTCCTTGGAGTCTTAAGTTCTCTGAATCCTGCTGTTCCCCTCCCGTGTTCTTTCCACCACCACCCCCCGCCCCCTGCCCCTAAGAGCAGCTTCGAGTGCCTTTCTCGCTTTTGACTCTGCTTCAAAGAAAGCGCTTCAGTGGAGCCGAGTCTGCCCCAGCCGCCCACAAAACAAGAGGAAATTCTGAGCACCTTCAGGCATGAGTCAACCCCACCATGTTCAGGAATCTCTGCCCACAGCATCCCCCACTCTTCTCTGCTTGGGCCCGAAATAGATACCTTCTTGAGAAGCCTCGCTGCTTTTGGTCTTCTCAGCAATAAAAAAACAAGGCGAGGGTAAGGTGTATGCCCCCGAGGTGTGATAGTGGGAGTTTTCTCGGCTGTGGAGTTTTTCAGAGTTTAGCAAACATTGCCGCCAAGGTACAGTGGATAGACGGGTGGAAGAGGGAAGGGGTAGGGTGGCTGGGGCCAGCCTCGTCTGTGGCAGGGCTTTTAGTTACATGTTCATTCCTTCATGTATTAATCATTCGGCGAGTCATTATGGAGCAACTACTGTGGGTCAGACATGGGTTAGAGATGAATGTGGCAGCCCGGTTCCTGGGCCTCCGGGAACTCCTCACCCAGCAGGAGAGAAATAGCTTGCAGAGATGATTACAACACACGGTAAGGCCTAAGATCTAAGTGTGAAGGAAGAGCGGGTGGGCCACAGACGTTCCTTCTTATTGCGAGCCCGGTCACGAACCGCCTCCCGTTTACACTAACAGGAAGGAGCGCTGAGAGCATTGTGTTGTCATTATTAATTACTAAAATTATTACAACCAAACACCACGGATGTCGAATTACACTACTATTCGCTTCTTACAGACAGAGGATTTGCAGATGCTCTCTTTTGCTCAAGACACTCCTTACAGACAGAGGATTTGCAGATGCTCTCTTTTGCTCAAGAAACTCCTTACAGACAGAGGATTTGCAGATGCTCTCTTTTGCTCAAGAAACTCCTTAACGGAGAAAACGGAAACATTTCAGGTGGGGGTACTGACATTCCTTTAAGAACAAACTGATTGCTCCCACAGCCCCCAAGTATTTGCGAAGCAGCACATAGAGACCCTCACT